CAGGCAATCCACTCACTTCAGCCTCCCAAAGGCGTGGGATTACAGGCTGAGCCACCGAGTTCGGCTCTAATTCCTCATTTTATCTCACTAGGATCACAGAACAGGACATGCATAAAAAATTTTAAGATTTTTTTTGCTCTGATAGACGGATTTATGTTTGTTTGAAAAGAATGTATATTCTCTTCTGCACTCAATGTTCTTCTCTTTCTTCCATATATGCAGCTTGATTGTGTTGCTCAAATCATTTATATTCTTATTTTTCTTCTACTTGATTTGTTGTGGATTTGCCAATTTATCCCTTGCAGTTAATCATTTTTCACTTTATATATTCAAAGCTATATTCTTAGATGCATAAAGTTTCATGACTTTTATGTCATTATGGCATGATTCATCTATTTATTGATTCATCTATTTATTCATATGAAATTTCTATTTAATGTATTTTTGCTATTCATCCTTTTCCATACTATCTTAGAATTGCTAAACCAGCTTTTTAGCATTTGCTTAATGCATCTTCCTATTATTTTATTTTCAAATTCCCTGTTCTTTTATTTTAGATATGCCTATTGTGCACTGTATATATATTTTTGTATTCCAATTTTATTTTAGTCAGTGTCTTTTAATCGGTGTTTATTTCTTTCATATTTGTTGAAGTTTCTGATTTATTTTTAACTTCTTGTCATTTTATATTTACTCAGGTTTATCTTTGTCTGTTTTACCCTAATCCTAACTTATATTGCATAGGAGATTTTTAGTTCTTTTCTTCCTCAACTGGTAAGTAAGTCATACATTTTTAATAGTGGTTACTATTAAAATTTTAGCCTATGTACTTAAACCTATTTTTCTAAAAATTTATAGCATTAATAATATTTATATTTTCTCCCTCTAATAAAAAGCAAAAAAAAAAAAAACAAAAAGAAAAAACTTATCACTGACTTCCCCTTATTTCCTCTGCATCTACACATCCCAAGTTAATAATGTTTACAATTATAGTTCCAGGTTGTTATTTAAAACACTATTTTAAAAATAATGACCAATACTTATTTAGACTTACTATCCTTTACTAATACCTTTTCTAAACATTGGTTCTTGCTTCCTATTCCTACTCCCACTTTATCCAAATTCCTTTCCCTCTTGGAGTAAAACCTCCAATAACTATTTTGGAGAATGCTAGAAGTTGGTAGACTTTTTAGGCATCTCATCTTCACACTAGAATGATAGCTTAGTGTAATATAAACTCCCTAAGGCTTAGTCATTTGTGTGCTCCACTATCTAATTCTATTATTGCTTTGTAGGTGATCTATCTTTTTTCCCAGATAGTTTTTAAGAGTTTCTTTTTATTCCTGACTTCTTTTTCACCATGGTTTATGTGTTTTTTTAACAGATGGAGGTTCTCAGCCATTATTTTTTCCAAATACTGCCTCTTGTCCCATTCTCTCTTCCCTTGAACTCCCCTCACGTTGGATTTTGGAATTTCTAGGTTCATTCTTTACACCTCTTAACTTCTTGTTCATACTTCTCAACTCTTTAACTTTCTTACTACATCCTGGGAGAATTTCTTATCTCAATTTTTCAGGTACAGTATGTACTTAGTTCACTATCTTGAATTAGAAACCCAAAGTATATACTTAGAGCAAAATGGAAACTACATTTAATCTCTTTATTTTTGGCAAGATCACTGAGTATCACTCATTTCATCATTTTAATATTTCACCAGCCATATATCTTTGAAAGGAAAGAAATCACAATTTATTGAATATATATATGTCCTAGGCATTGTACCAGATGCTTTTGCAAATTTTAAATAAATCCTTACCATCACTCTATTTCAGAGAACATCCAAATACATAAACTAGACAAGGGCAGTACTCAATTTGTAGCCAAATTAGAGATGTTACACTATACTGTGCGTCTTCAAAAGGAATAATATAAAATTTATTACTGAGCCCTAAGATTTTATTGTGCAGCAAAATCACCATGGGGATTTCTAGTTAGATGTTTCTTAGGAATTCTGAGTGGATAGTGATGCTTAGTGATGCTTTATACAGGAAATCTTACAAAGCTAAGCATTAGTGGTGCAGCATCCCCTTCCCTAAAAGCATGAAAAGTGTGATGTTTCATATATTGAATCACATAATTTTTGGTGTAATTTATTAATAATAAAAGGTACTCCACTTAAAATAGCTATCATCAAAAAGAAAAAAAAAAACATGCTGGCAAGGATGCAGAGAAAAGGAAACTCCCATTCACTGTGAGAGGGAATGTAAATTAGTACAGTCATTATGGAAAACAGTGTGGGGGTTCTTCAAAATACTAAAAAAAAAACCAAAAAACAAAAAACTACTATATAATCTAGCAATTCTGCCACTGGCTATATACCTAAACTAGAGGAAATCTGTATGTCAAAAGGATATCTATACTCCCATGTTTACTGCAGTACTATTCACAAGTTAAGTTATAAAGTCAACTAAATGTTCATCAATAGACAAATGGATAAAGAAAATGTGCTATACACACACAACTCAGCCATAAAAAAAGAATAAAATCCTATCATTTGCAGCAACAAGGATGAGTCTGGAGGGCATCATATTAAGTGAAATAAGCCAAGCGCAGAAAGATAAAAATATTGCATGTTCTTACTCATATGTGGGAGCCAAAATAGTTGATCTCATGGAAGTAGAGAGTAGAATTATGGCTACCAGAGGGTGGGAAGGGTGTGTGTGCATAGGAAGTGATGAAGATAGGTTGGGTAATGAATACAAGATGCAGTTAGATAGATAAATTAACTTCTATCTTATTACTTACTTAGTACTCAGTAATAAGAGTACTTACTTAGTACTCTGTGCTATTTGATAGCACAGTAGAGTGACTATAGTTAACAATAATTTATTAAATATTTCAAAATAGCTAAACTAATTTTGAATGTCCCCAACACAAAGAAATTATAAATATCTGAAGTATCAGATATCCCAATTACCTTTAGTTGATTATTATACATTGTACACATGTATCAAAATACCACATGTAACCCATAAATATGTATGACTCTTATGTATCAATAAAAATAATAAAAAGTAGAAATGTGAATCTTAGGATAAAGGGCACTATTCAAGTGGGCTTTTTAAAAAAAGTACAAGTGAGGAATTTGGTGAGAAAGGCTAAAGTATGGGTTGGGAAGTATTTGACAATTAAAAAGAACTTATGTCTTCTAATGCCATGTTCAGCATAGAACTAATATGATAAAGAATATACATGGATTAGTAAGGATTCTATAAGCACAAGAATGTAAGTGCAGTTTTTTTTACCTGGAGGTCCAGGAAGGCCTGGTGGACCCTGAATTCCAGGAAATCCTTGCTCTCCTTTTTCTCCAGGCAAACCAGGTAAACCAATGTTTCCTTTTTCTCCTACAGTTATGCCAGTCCCAGGTCTAGGAATTACCTTTATCACAAAAGAAAATAAATAACAGAACTCAAGGAGGAAGAGGTCTATTCTCCTGAAAATAATCTGATAGTTACATATGACTGTATTATCAACATTCTCAGAAAGTGCCCAGATGTAACTTTATTAAGACTAATATATAGATTATGAGTCACATATTCTCTATCACTCCCATCCTCCAAATGATTAGAAAATGTCCAAGACTCCTAGAGCCCCAGGATTACAATCTAAAAGTATTTTTGATGTCTCTTCTCTTATAATTCACATTCAATTTATCCCAATAACCTAAGCCTGACAATCCTTTTTTATTTTTTATTTTTTGAGTTGGAGTCTCTGTCACCCAGGGTGGAGTACAGTGGCATGCTCACGGTCACCGCAGCCTTGACCTGCTAGGCTCAGGTGATCCTTCTGCCTCAGCCTTCCAAGTAGTTGGAAGTACAGGCATGCACCATCACACCCAGCTATTTTATAAAAATTTATTGTAGAGATGAGGTCTTGCCAAGTTAAAAATGTCTCTTCAAATTGCTCCTTTCGTTCCTGTTGCCACAGCTACTATTCTCAACTAATGCTTGAACTAACAGAAGCACCTCTGAGCTTGTTCCCTTTAATTCAAATCTACTGCTAGGATATGCTTCCTCAAAAGCCATTTGTGTGTGTGTGTTTACTACTCTGCTTAAGGAGTCAAAATTGACTACTACTTCTTACTGTATCTGATTCTACTTTTAACCCTGAACTCTGTCAAGTCAAGTCATTTCTCACTTCAACAATCTCCCTCCCACCTATTCCACCTCCTATTATATCTAACCATAAATTTTTATTAGAGTGAAGTCTGACTCAGTCTAACCACTTCATTCAACTTGCATGTACATGTCTGTGCCTTTCCAAATATCTGTAATTCCTTTTCCCAATCTTTTTCTTTATGAGCCCACATTTCTCTTTCTTTTTTGAGTTGGAGTCTCACTCTTGTCACCCAGACTGGAGTGCAGTGGCACGCTCACGGCCACCGCAGTCTCAACCTGCTAGGCTTAGGCGATCCTTCCACCTCAGCCTTCCAAGTAGCTGAAACTATAGATGCACGCCACCACGCCTGGCTAGTTTCTGCAATTTATTGTAGAGAAGAGGTCTCACCAAGTTGCCTAGGCTGGTCTCGAACCCTTGGGCTCAAGCAATCCTCTCACCTCGGTCTCCCAAAGCGCTGGGATAACACGCTGAGCCACCGTGCCTAGCCTCTCTTCCTTTATAAAATAAAAATAACTTCAAGGAAGATTTTACTGATTAAACCCAGCCAACTAATCATCCCCTTTTACTCTGTCTTCTTAAAACGTAGTACTTAAGTCTTTTCTAAAAGACTTCATATTTTAAAATTCATCCCATAGACTTATAAAGGTAAATAAGCTTCAGATTGAATAGATTGTCAATTCCGGGTATAAATCAACAACTACTGGCAAAGTGTGGTGTTTCATCTTGCCTCTATTGGATATAAAAATAACTCACGCAAAAGGAGACAAAAAGTTGTAGGACCTAGAATTGGGATAGTAGTTCACAAGGGAAAGTGGGCTACTGGATAGGATTACACTCTCAAAATTTTCATTTCTCTTGATACTCATCAAAATTGTATCAACTCATCTTATAAAGATATTATTTCCTGGAAACTGAAACTGATTTTAAAATGAAAATGAGTAAGAATTATCAAATATCTTCTTTATCCCGGGCTCGGTGGCTCAACCTGTAATCCCGTGCTTTGGGAGGCTGAGGTGTGGGGATTGCCTGAGCCCGCGGGTTGAGACCCGCCTGGGCAACTTGGCGAGACCTCACCACAACAATAAATAAAAAATTAGCTGGGTGTGGTAGCGTGCGCCTGTAGTTCCGGCTGCGCGGAAGGCTGAGGCGGAAGGATCGCCGGAGCCCAGCAGGTAGAGGCTGCAGTGGCCGGGAGCGGCCACTGCACTCCAGTCTGGGCGACAGAGTGAGACTCCAACTCAAAAAAAGTATATCCTCATTACATTTAGTACAGTCCTAAACATTAATATCTGAAACTCATTATGGACAAAAAGAATTAAATTAATGGTACTAAAATGTCTGGGCATGCAGAATAGATTTTATAACATTCACACTGTTGTTACTTCAATGCAGTCTAATGGTCAAGAGTCTTACCAAATTTCAGCGCAAAAAGCCCAATATGTCAAACCGCAGAAATAATATTTTATTCTTAATAAGACTGGAAATATAGTTTACTTAAATTTCACAGTGAACACAAACGTGACAGAAAATCTGTAAATCCCTCAATTATTCTTTCATTGAACAGTTTCTTATACTTGTTATTAAAAGCCCCTAGAAAGTACACGCTCAGGAAAGAATGAGGTGTGAATCAGACAATTACAAATTGAGAAAACCTATTAAAACCAAATCCATCTTTCCCCTGAGCTCTGTAGGAGAAAGGGCCAATCTCCACTACCCCAATTTTCTTTTATTGAACCTTTGAAAGCAATTCTTGCACCACCTGCTGGTAGCTTGAGAAATGATTTGGCAATCACAATGTAAAACAACCCAATGGCATAATTTTGGACCTTTACTATGGAGAAGTAATACACAGGCAGAACAATACAAAGATCTTGAAGTCGACTCTATTGAAGTTTTTATATGTAAAGATTTTTAAGCCAGTAGAAGTTGATAATGACTGGGAATTGTGTATTCTATGAAGAAAAAATAGGGAGTTTGCAATTGAGGCACAAAATGGTAATATATTAATATATTTGATAAATGCAGATTTTAAAAAACTTACAAGTCCAGGAGGTCCAGTAGGGCCAGTGTCACCTTTTTGGCCCTGTTTATATAATTGCAAAATCGGTTAGTAAAAATCACATGAAAACATCAATTTCCTCAAGACCAGTAGATAATTTTCATAAAGGTCAATAAATCAATAATAAAACATCTCAAATGAGAAATAACATAAGGTAATGAAATGATAACTTGCCTAAATTTGGAAAGACCTGTAATGCTGTCTCAGATTTACTAGCTATATAATCTTAATCAAATCAATTAAACTATATATACAAAAAAATAAAGATTTTGGACCAGACCTTTAAGGTATTTCTAGCTATAATATTATTTGATTTTAAGATTTCTATTTTCTAGCAAGCTATAAATATTCTATAAAGAAGATAATGGAAAAATTGGTACCACTAGAATCATTACATGGTAAAACCATTACATATTTTACATTTTAGCCATATCTATTTTCATAACTAGTCAAGTGTATAAATATAGTGTCATTTCTATTTAGTGACAGATGTGTTAGAGGTGATGGACTGAACTATCATCAGAAACAGCTAAGAAATCCTAATTGCTTTTGTGAGTTTGCTCTTGGAAGCTAATAAAAGACAAATTCATACAAAACTTTTATCTTTGATCAGTAGATACAACAGCATAAACAAACCATAATATTCAATTGTTACTCTACTGGTCAAAACCCAAGAATAGTCTCACACCTCTATTATGGTTCTAGACTTGTTTATAGAAAACTTCCATCTATATATAAACTCCTTTGAGTTTAAAGAGTTATTCTATCCTATAACTTTAATTACTACTTGAGAAAAAAATCCTGTTCTATGATTTGCTACCTCCCTTTATACCAACTGTTCCTTTTGGGCCAAGTTAGAACTTGGATTTATTTAGACAGAGGCTGCCATTAAAACATGTGCCCTCTGTTTGGTTTTGATGCAAAGCAATTAGAGGGATTGGAGGACTGGATATTTGTGACTTGCTAAAAATGGGGTAATTGTGTGCTTCATACATTCTGTCAAAGTCACTTTTTAAATAGGTAACTAAATAAATGACCTCAGTCAGGCTGCACTAGCCCAGTGGAAAAAATAATGACAAAGAATTAGCCCCAGACTTGCAGACAATAATTGCATACAGAATGGAAATGTTTAGTGGAGACCTACTAAATTCACAGCTATAAGCCTTTTTAGTATGAGGACCTCACTAAAATAGTGCTGAATTCTCTTTCCTGAAAACAAAAGTTCTGCCAATACATGCTCAAAGTAAAGACAATGACGTTTTACAATGGAAATGCTAACGTTAAACAATCCTTCATGTATTTCTACCACATGGACTATGATTTAGGACAATGGAAGAAAACTTAGAGAATGTGGGATATAAGAAAAAAGAGAAAAAGATGCATAAAGAAGGCATGTTTTGAATATAAAAGCTGGTTATATAAAACTTTTTCATTTCTAATTCAATCTTGGAAAAGAAATGGATTATGTTAACTAGAGTAAAACCAGTCACTTCAAAGCATTAAAATTCTTACTTTTTCACCATCCCTTCCAGGTTCACCCAGGTAACCAGGATCACCAGGCAAACCCTTTAAAACATAGAAGACAGGATGACATCAGCAAAAATGATGAAATTAGGATCCTACATAAAACCTCTCTTCCACTGAAGCAATGAGAATACTGGCAAAATGATCGTTCAGAATCAACTTTCAGAACTTATCCAAAGCTTCCAGCAATTCAAGGAGTGTTTTCTCAAAAAACGGGGGAAGGCTGAATAGGACAGATCTTTGAGGCATTTTTAACTTGCTCTATTCCCATCATCCCTCTTTAGAATCAAGGTAAAAATCAGCAGCCTAGAAGCAACTGGAAGGGGAAAAACAGGATTGGAGCTCCTTCAAAGCCCCATTCCCAAAGAATTGTCATTATTTGATCTGTCCGGTGGTTCACAAGAAGACTCCATTTGCAAAGCTTCCTTTATCTGACCTAACTTGTGATCTCCCAGTGTGAACAGAGAACAAGAGAACAGCCACCCTATCCCTGGCCTCTCATTTGTTGAAAACAGTCAGAGGCAACTGTTGTATATCACGGCTGTCTGCACTGAGACAAAGACCAACAGTACCAAAAGAAGCCAATAAACGAGGCCCTGAATTTACCTTCTATTATACTACTTTTTTTGTTTGTTTAAGCCTTTTTTGAACTATAATTTGTAAGTTGAGGATTACTTGTTTAGTAAAATCATCTTGAAAACAATTTATCTGATTTTAGTAATTCTAACTTCTTGTTGTAAAGAATTATCCCTTTCTTTTGGAATCGCCTATAAATTTCACCAAATTTTAATCTGTCCTTGAAAACTTCTTTTAATGCCAAGTGTGAATACTCTTGATACTGAAGCTGCTTGAAAAAATATTTTTGGACTTGTATATTTTTATTTTTCCCCTTTTCGGGGTAGTAATTAGAAGAATTACTTGTCAAAAGTTTTTCTGAAAAAAAATTATGTTTACACAAAAACTTGTATGTGGATGTTTATGCAATTTTATTCATGATGCCCAGAACCCAGGATCAACCAAAATATCCTTCAATGGGTAAATGAATAAACAAACCATGACACATATCCACAAAACCACATAATACTCATCTATAGAAAGGAATGAATTACTGATACACAGTTCAATGCATTCTGTTATGTGAAAGAATCCTGATTCAAAATAATATATATGCTATGACCCCATTTATATGACATTCTAGAATATGCAAAATTAGGGGATTGAAAACATATCAGTTGTTGCTAGGAGTTTAGGGTGGAGACATAGGGGAGGAGATAACTACAAAAGAACATGAGAAAACTTTTAAGGGTGACAGAACTGTTCTTGATTATGGCAGTGGTGATACAGCCTTAGGTGTCTGTGAAAAAACAGAACTGTACAGTAAAAGGGGTTAATTAAATTTGGCTTATAAAAAAGAGTAGCCACATATTTATATTCAAAAGAGAAATGAAGGATAATTTTTATTAATTTAAACTATTTCTAGACCCCAGACTCTTTGCCACCTTGACTTCTCTACTACTATCTCAAAATGTTGCCAATTTGGGGGTAGAAAGAACCTTAGCTACTTACTGGAATTCCAGGTTGGCCATTCTCTCCATCTTTGCCTGGTTTACCCTACAGGACAGAAAGAAATGATGGGGCAACAATATAAGTTTGTAAGTTAGGAAGTATAAAGTTTAAAAATATAACAAGCTTTATTCCTGCCTTGGTCTATATTTAAGTAGACTCTTTAGACTTACATATTATAACAACTAATAAGTATGTCAACAGTGATATTTTGAGACAATGGAAGTAACACTTAGGAAGAAAATCTCTCTCTCTCCCTCTCTCTCTCTCTCTCTCTCTCTCTCTTACACACACACACACACACACACACACACACACACACACACTTAGAATTTTTTCAAAGAGTATTAGTAGTCATAAAACTTACTCTTTTGCCTGGCTCTCCTTGCTCGCCCTTCTCACCTTTCACACCACCTGGAGGACCCTGTACAAACAAAAGTAGTTTCATGGGATACATTAATTGATACTAAAGCACTTTAGGTTACTTACTGGAGGACCATGTATCCCTGTACAAACAAAAGTAGTTTCATGGGATGTCTTAATTGATTCTGTAACACTTTAGGTTACTTACTGGAGGACCACGTATCCCTGGAGGTCCAGGAGGCCCTTGGTCACCAGGAAGTCCCTATGTAGTAATAGGAGAAAGGAAAATAATGTTAATACTGCAGTATGCATTCTCATCCTAACTTGTAGAGCTAGCTAAGAACACTTTTAACAAGTTGAACTATATACTCATATAGTATAACAAAAGATAATAGCATGTTTCCAATTCAAAGTTAAAATGTTCTAGTCAAAATTCCTGAGGGCGATCTTTTTTCACTTCAGTTAATTTATTGTGCATATACAAGCCAAGATTTCAGGTAGTAACATTTCCATTAAAATGAAAATATTAATGATTTTTTTATTATTTAAAAAAGTGTTTATATTTTAAAGATGTAGGGTATAATTCAGTATTAGGTATACAAGTGGTCATTGTACAGGAAGGTTTGGGGCTCCCTTTGGATGTAAAGCAAGAGTACCTAAAACTAGGAGATTTGGGGACCAAATAGCAAAAATATACTTTGGCAGAGAATTAAATGACCCAATCCATATTGATGACAGAGTTTCAATACAACTTTTCCTTTATTCTTAACTCTCTTATTAGCATTTAAGTGAAATAAAAATTCACATACACTGTTTTTATAAGGGTGGAGCAGGAGTCTTAAAAAATTACTTGATCCCCTCATCTACTTTAGTAAAAGCAAGGTATCAGATAACTTTCTAAACACACCAAGGGTTTATGGAGTAATATCATCTTTTGTTTTGCATATCAATGAAATGTAGACAGCACAGTATCAATCTACTTTACCATGACCTAATTTTATGCATGACTGTATTATTCAATTAATTGAAAGTGGAAACAACCCAAATGTTCATCAACTGATGGATGAATATATAAACAAAATGTGAACTATTTATACAATGGAATATTATTGAGCCATAAAAAGCACTAATACACGCTACTAAATGGTTGAACTTGAAAACATTATGCTAAGTAAAAGAAGCCAGACACAAAAAGTCACATATTTTATGATTCCATTTATATGAAACACCCAGAATAAATAAATCTACAGAGCTAAGAAATAGATTAATGGTTGCCTAGGGTTGGTGAGTTTGAGGGAAAAAACCAAGTGACAGCTAACAAATATGGAGTTGTGGGGGGACAAGATGATGAGAATTTTCTAAAATTAGATGGTGCTAATGGTTTCACTAACCTTTAAATGGATGAATCGCATAGTATGTAAATGATATCTCAATAAAGTTCCTTTTACAAATTTAATTATCTCATAATTTAGTTATTTTTAAAATGCTCTCATATATAGCCATATTTCAACTTATAATGCATTTTAATAGATGCCACTTCCATAACAAGAATATTGTTGGCTTTTAAAAATTTTTTATTTTATTTTTCCAGCTATATTGAAGTATAACTGACAAAAGTTGTATATGTTTAAGGTATGTACAATGTAATGTTTTTATATACATATACATAGAGAAATTATTACCACAAGCAAGCTAATTAACATATCTCTAACTAGATTTTCATTGATTTGCTCCCTACTTACTCACCTGATCTCCTTTCTGAAACTCTACGTCAATTGGTCTTTTCTGCTCACTGATCTGTCCAGGTGGCCCAGGTGGGCCTTGAAGACCTTGTTCACCCTGTTTGTAAGATAAAATAAGACAATGATATTTCTCAATCTACCACAGACAATAATATAACATCTAAACTAGGACAATTGCAAGAAGCAAAAAATGGAACAAGACAGTTCAAATGACTATGAAAAGAGAAAGCTGAGAACTAAATAACCAACTCTCTTTCCTTACTCACCTTTTCACCCTTTGGTCCCTGGAAGTTTAAGCCCATATTACCCTGAAGAGAGAAATTTCCATTTAAAATCTCATTGGCAACAAGAAAAAGAATTCACACCAAATAAAAGATGTGAAGAAAAAGTAAATTAATTACCTTTGGTCCTGGAAGTCCTGGTGGACCAGGAGGGCCCTAAGAATAGAAGACATAGAAAAGGAAATAAAATGCTATTATTAATAAATGTATCTAAAAGTTATTTGATTTCAGAAAAAGTGAGAATTGAAAAAGCTCTGCAAAATAACATTTTCTTGTTCTTTGTCCTCATTGCTTTTTAGTCAGAGACATACATTTAAATTGATTAAAATGCACTAGATAAATACAGAGACTTGTGGTGATCTAGAAGTAGACAGGGAAAGAAAATTGAGATAAGTAGTGGTAGAGGGGTGCCATCAGTACCAAAAAATCAATTAAAAAGTTAACTTCAACAAACCTGTAAATTTTTTCAGGTCAGAATTATGAATAAATGTATGTACCATAAGGCAATTAAGTCTCATATTCTTTTAAAAAGTGTGTTTATTTTAAAATCCAGTTTTAGTTTTATGTAATCTGACTTTGTATGTTTGCGAATGATTCTTATGTAATATGACTTTGTATATTTCAGAATGTTTCACGGTTTGAAAAATTAAATAGGCATTTGTCTGGCCAACTATATTGCCTCTAAATCTCTCAATGTACCTACTTATTTACTCACTGTACCTCATTGCATTTCTAAGTTTTGGCTTCACCTGTTGCACTATGGTTAGTTGAAGGAACATTCAGGAGTGCACAGTGAATTGGTTAAGTGGTCACAAGGGTTGAAGGAATTCAGGGTGTAACTACATACCCAAGGGGCATTGGCATTGTAACAAGAGAGGAAAAAGTGCCATACATAGTCTAGAGTCTCATGCTTTGCAGGAGGTCTACAACTAAAAGAAATTAAACAAAAGGGTTTCTAATCCTCTCCTAAAAAGTTACAGGAAAGCAGCAATCACAATGTTTTCTGATAAATTCTTCTACTACTTACCAAATATTATTTCCTTCACCTAAGAGTAGAAGACCAATTCTCAAAAAAAATGTACAGTCTACAAACATATAATGAAAACTGTCACTTAAATATACGATAGATGAGAAATAGAGTGGCACATGAGAAATTACTTTGACTGAAATGCAATTTTCTTGCCCTTTTAAGGGAGCAACAACAAAGCTCTAAGTCCAAAACATGACTTGAATGAAATCTAAGTATTTCAGCAGTAAAATAGTTAGAATTTATTAGAGTAGAAAATAAGAGTGACTATGCATGTAGTAAAGTAAAAGAACTGGTTGCACATTTAGGGTCTTTAGAAGTTTTCGCTTATTTCCTAGGTATATAAACCTAGGACCCACTGCAGCATGATCACTATTTTGTCCCAGGCCCCCAAGAAATGAAAACCAATTTTTTAATTAAATCCTATTGTTCTTCTTAAACAACAAAAAAATGCAGTGTAAAGAAACATGTTTGATCAAGTGACTGGAAATCTGCCTTAAAAGATTTCCTGAGAGGACCAGAATTTACTTCAATACTAACACATCAAGAGGCAACCAACAGAATATTTTAAATCTTTCCTGTTAAATACAACATTTTTTCCTCTATAAAATAGAGCTGTTACTTCAAATGAGTATTGTTCACAATAACCTTGTAAAATCACCCTTAAATAATAAAATTGCAGATTATGAATATTCAAAATGCAAGATATTTTCCAGTATTATAAATTATATTAATACTTGTGAAAGAAATCAGAACGAAAAGGAGGAGAAATGAAATTACAGAAGGAAGCTTACCATCAAACCTGGTGGTCCTGGGGGACCCATTGGCCCTGGTATACCAGTGGGACCAGGTGGGCCCTGTTATAAAGGGAGAAAAGAAAAAGATTAAAAAAAAACCAAAACCCTCATTGCATCTTACAAATAACTAAACCTAGGTTGTCGCTGTAATTCTGTTCTACAATTCTGTAACTGCATTATAAGAGAAATTTTAAAATGTCTAAAGATAAAATAATTAAGTAACCATAAAGAAATTCAACTAAACAATGGATGCAACTTTCAGAAAGCTTATGTTTTAAGGTAGTAGATGACAAATATAAGAGAAACACATAATAAGGAAAACTTAAAAAATACAATGATAAAACTAGGCATTTAGTGGAGATTTTATGCTAGAAATGGGAAGGGAAAGGTTATTACATTCAAGGTAACTTCTCTAATTTTAAAATAGATAAAATTAAAGAGAGGGAAATGAGAATAACTGAGATAAATGATAAAGGGGATAATAAAATTGTTATGAAACATACCTTGGCATCTTAAAAACTAAAAATTATTCTGACCTACAGTCTAATAATTCTGTACCTAGGTAGACATCCTGGATTTTTTTCATAACAAAACACATTTTTTAAGGATATTTTAAAATTTATTAGGTTAAAAAATTAAATGTGAAAGACAACTTATCATTGTGAAATTTTCGATTAACAGCAAAAGAATCTTGTGTTAGGTATTGTAACAAATTCAATACCAAAGAGCAGAAACATGAGGGCAGGGACTGTTGAATTTTAAAAGTTATGAAAATCACAGAAAAAAATCACAATAAGAGGAAAGCATTATAAATATACTAACACAATTATTACCAACTTTAGTGAAGTTAAAATATGCCAGAATATTGCCAGAATATTTTGAAGTGACATGGTCAACTTAGATGAGATATTAAATAATCCAGATAAGTTAAGTGGGAAGTGGAGCTGAGTGAACTACAGTAACATAAAATAATTGGGATGAATCTTAGCATGTGAAGTAGAAAAAAATGCCACAGAAAAACTACACAAATATTACATTATTTTTATAAAGCAAAACTAAGTATTCTGTTGTTATATCAAATATATTCATATGTGATAAAACTATTTGAAAGAGAAAATTAGAAAACTCCACATGGTAACTATATCTTGGGGGAAATGCAGAAGGAAATGACTGCCAAGGAACACACAGGTTGATTCAAAATTATTTACAATGTTCTAGTTCTTTTTTTTTTTTTTTTTTTTTTTGAGTTGGAGTCTCACTCTGTCGCCCAGACTGGAGTGCAGTGGCCGCTCCCGGCCACCGCAGCCTCGACCTGCTGGGCTCCGGCGATCCTTCCCCCTCAGCCTTCCAAGAATGTTCTAGTTCTTAAATGTTGTGTTCAGTATATGAGTGTTCATTTTATAGTTATGCTTCATAATGTACCATATATTTTGCATGTATTCTGTTGTGTTTTCAAATGTTAAATTATAAAAATTTATGAAATTTAAAGGGCAAGATTGAGTGACGTTAAGAGACTATGTATGAATGACATCAAGTAAGGAATGAGAAGATAGCCAACAAAAAAAGGTCTCCAACATTGTAACTTAGTGATCAAATACCAGAAAACACTGATTTTTATTTGGGGCAAAGGAACAAATTATCATAAAACATAAGCCCAAAAAGTTGACCTCTTAATCTACAAACCTCAAAAGTCATTGCCATCTCTATGCATACTATCTGTAGGCTAACATAATTTTTTTCTTAAGATTATATTTGACATTCACTATGCATAAATTGTATTCCTTTAGAGTTCAAAATATGCTTATGTTATGTATAATTGATAGTACTACAGATGACATATTTTAATATCTTAACAGACACTAATAATTTTTCTTTTACTTTTTATTTCTTTTTTGAATAGGAGTCTCTCTCTGTCACCCAGGCTGGAGTGCAGTGGCACGCTCACAGCCACCGCAGCCTTGACCTGTTGGGCTCAGGTGATTGTTCTGCCTCAGTCTTCCAAGTAGCTAGAACTACAGGCACGCACCACCACGCCCAGTTATTTTTTTCTTATTTTGATTTATTGTAGAGATGATGTCTCACCAAGTTGCCCAGGCTGGTCTCAAACCTGTGTGCTCAGGCAATCCTCTCACCTTGGCCTCCCAAAGTGCTGGGATTATAGGTATGGGCCACCGCACCCGGCCTAATTTTTCTTTATAATCCAACCATTTACAGAGTATCCTACTGCTTTCCACAAAACAACAATAAGAATATAAAAGCCTATTTCTGCTGCCAAGCCTCAAACAAAAATTTCCATGGAAATTGGATAGAGGGGTAAAAGAACAAAGTAGAGCTTATTATAATTTTCCCTCATCCAGTTTGCTATTATTTTCAAGTGGAAAGGACATGTAATGTCTAGTAAACGTTAGATGATAATATCTATGACTAAAATAGAGTACTAAAGGTTGAGGTGTTGCTGTGGCCTGATGTAAGCCAAAAAAGAATATTAATGGATACTTACTTGTATTCCAGGAGGACCTGGATATCCTGGACTACCCTTTGGTCCCGGCAGTGGTGACATAATTATACTACCTGGTTCCCCCTAAAAGAAACCGTCAATGGAAGTTGTAAGTCACAGTTATTGTACATGAAAACCAGCAAGAGCACAAAAAAATTATCTGAGGATTCAATTTTTCACACAGATGTACTGAAAGATCAGGCCATCTCAGTATTAAAAAGAATAAATTTACTTTTTAAAGAAAATGAGAAAGTGGCCAGATTATACTGAAGTATAATACATTTATCAGGAGACAGTTGTACCTTCAGTTACTCATTCACTGAAAAAATTATTAAATATTAAGTATTTGCCAAGAATTGTGTTAGGTTCTGGACACTCAGTAACAGAAAAGATAAACCTGTCTGTTCTCATGGAGCTAACGATATAATGGGAAAATGCAAGCCATGACATGTAAGAAATAAGATGACATGTTCTGTCAAGGGCTATGAAGAAAAGCAACATAGTACAATGATAGAAAAATCAATAGTGGAGAAAATTTCTTTAGTTTGGGTAGTCAAGAAAGAAAAATATGTGAATGTAAGGAAAGAAAAATATGTGAAGGTAAAATTCAGGTAGAGAACTGAAGGATGAAGATAGGGGGAAGAATTTTAGGCAGTGCAAATCGTATATACCAAAGACCCCAAAAGCAAAGAGTTTGGCACATTCCAATAACTAAATGCAGACTGGTGTGGTCAGTGAGCCAAAGGAAAAGTGGTTTTAAATAACGTTGAAAATGTAACCAGGGACCAGAATATGCAGAACTTACAAGTCATGGACTTTGCAATACACAGTGCGGAGTCCTTTAAGATTTATAAACAAGGAAATTAAGTTATTGGTCAACATTTTGAAAGAATCATTCTTTGTTGCTTTGTAGAGAATAAATCAGACTGGGAGATGAGGGCAGGAGAGTAGTGAGAAAAAAAAAAAGAGACGACTATTTAAGAGGCTACTGAAGTAATCCAGATGAGACATTGTGGTTAATGTGGTGACAGTGGAGATGGAGAAAAATGGGTGAATTTAAGATACATTTTACAGGCAAACAGTATTTAGTGACGGGATGGAATGAAAAAGTGTGCAAAGCAGTGGCAGATGTAAATACTAACTCTCAGGTTTTGAGTTCATGTGAAAGTATACATAACATAGTGATGCAAATTTTAGATATGGGAAGCCAGAGGGAGGAGCAGGTTTATCTTGGGGGATGAGCTAACTCGGAACATGTTAATTTGAATGTCTGGGAGATATCTTTGTGGAGAAGTCAGGGGGTTGTTGAATATTTGCTTCTAACTCAGAAGAAACGTCTGATTTATTATTCAGTAACTAGACAGTAGTTAATACTATGGGCATTAATAATATTGCTGGCCATAGAAGAGAAGAAGGGGTCAGGATCATGTCCTGATGCTTTCTGGACAGAGCAGAATGAGTTTACACAGAAGACTGTAAAATAACTAGAGATGAAGAAGAAAAATCAGGAAAGAGCTGTGTCACAGAAGCCAGGAAAATGAGGACTTCTAGAGAGAACAAATGATCAACAGTATCAAAGTGTTACAAGATGAGAACTGAAGGTGTCAGAAAAGAAACTTGAATGTGATATACACATTTTTAGGTGTATCAGCGCATAGAGGTATATATACCCATGGGAATCAGAGGAGACTACTTGAGGAGAACTTGTAAGCATACACTTGCACAACTTCTAGAAGCATCCATTTTAAGTCTGCGTCATTATCCTATTAAAGTTGTGAATTTTCCAGATATTTTATTCAGAACATTTACCTTTGCAGCATGAGATGCTTACCTTCATACCTGGGATCCCAGGAGGTCCCTATTATTAAAAAGAAAAGGAACTATTTTATGTATACGAGGGGAAGCAAGCAAAGAACATAATGCTTTCTAAATGGAGTATAAACTGAGTAGACTGCTGTAAGGCCATTTCTCAGTACGCGATATTTTAAGATATTGTGGGATGATATTTATATTAAATATCATAGAATCCTTGCTTACTACGCTCAGCAGAGAGCTATACCATCAATTTGTTATTAAATCTTTAAAATCTAGTTTACCACTTTAAAATTTATTACTTTCTTCCACATGAATGCATTGGGCTCACTCTCTAATTTCTGCTTTTACTGTTGATCTCTGTGCTCATCATAATCCCAAATTTTATAACTTACTGGAGGACCCTGTAAACCAGGAAAACCCGGGCTGCCTGGGAATCCACGTTCTCCCTAGAAGGAGTTAAAAATAAAGAACATGGAGGAAAAAGAAACAACAACTATACCAACAAACAATGACCTTGAAAAGATTTCTGTAAAAGCCATCTGAAACATTCCAGACTACCAAAAATTCACTAGCCTTCACTTTTCAATTACATCAATATCAACTACCCATATCAATTCAACCTTCTATGATACGTTTATCCTGACTCGTCCATACCAATCAGAAATAAAGAAAAAAGAATCTTCTATCCCAGTCATTTTCTTCTGACAAATCCATTTTGAGACAAGCACACCACAGATTCCTGACCATCATCACATTTAATAGTTAATGATTTGCCTCAATTTCCTGCCCATGTATTATATAGATTCTTATTTTAACTGCACTATTTTATTTTTCTTTTATTGTAAACTATTTCAAATTATTTTTGTAAAGAGGAAAAGATGGTAAAAAAAAAATAAAGCCATTAATATCACCAAGAGGACAATAATAGCAATAGTTTTAGTAATTGCAGGTCATTATGTTTTCTAGACATCCAATTTTTCTCACTCACTATTGTAAAGTACTAATATGGACATTTGGTTCAGTAAACAAAAGCTAAAATTGCTATAGAAGAACCCCAAAGCAACCTCCTTTGAAATACTTATATGCCATAGTAATACTAGAAACAACTTCATCAGAAGATTTGCAAGAGTAAAATTACTACAGTTGTGTATCTTTGAGTTATTGTCCAATATTCTTCTCCCCATCACCTTTTACACATGGAAAAAGTAGGCCCAGAGATAAAGGAAGTGGTCTATAAATCAAGTTTAGAAGACAGAAAAAAATGAGCCCAATTCTAAGATTCATTCTTTTATTTACATAGTAAGAAATTTAAGAAAACTATTCAGTCTTTGTGTGTGTGTGTGTGTGTGTGTGTGTGTGTGTGTGTGTGTGAGAAAGCAGGATTTATTGAGGACAGATAAAGCTCCCACAGCAGGAGGGGGCCGAAGGGGTTGCCCCTATTCAGTCTTAAAGTATGCAAACTAAGTCCATTGAATTTGTTTAGAATCTGTTGCTCACATAATTTGAACCTGGAAAACAAATTAACCATTAGATTTGCTAAAGTGATTCTTTACAAAAATAAAAGAGAAAAGATTCTGTTAATTGTATAGCAGTCTGTTTGTTGCTTAAAGAAAGTTTGTTTTAAAACAAACAAATAAATAACAAGAACAGGCACAAAAATGTAGTCCACTTCAACATGAAATGTGCCACAGAAACTCCATATTGGTCCTATCACTGTAAGGTTGCCTCAGCTGAAGTGAAGAACACAAGTAAGCCTTACAAATCTAAATTTTAAAAAAATGATTACTGACAAAGGTCACATTGACCTGGAGAAAAATTGGAGGTAAAAAGAACTGCACTGCCTTCAAGTATATAGTAAAATAATTATCACAAAATATGACCATCATAATGCAAAACAGTTTGTTCAAGTTATTTTAAATATATGCTATAATGTAAAACTTGACACACAGCATTAGTTAGGAAGATCCAAGATATTTTATGAATAGTTTTACAGAATATATGTGAAAAATCGAAGATATTGGGATATGCAGAGAATAATAATATACTGTATCAACTTAAAAAAAGAGAAAAATGAGGGAATAGGAACAGAAGCTATAAAATGTAAGCTTGCAAGTAGAGCAAATTGTCCTCATTTTTTTCCTGCTATCTATTATATTATATTAAATCTAAACAGTTGTCTAAATAGAAGAAAAATGGGTCAGGAAATAAAGCTGTCTAATATCTAATATCTAAAGGTGTTCTTAATTGTTATATGTATTATTTTTGCTGATGAAAAAGAGTGCCAAGCTTCATACTAACAGATTATGTAAGCATGAATGTACTGTATTATGTACAGATTTTTAGGATTTTTCTTAAAGAAGTTATTAGGCAAATTAAAAACATGAAATTTTGACAAGTAATTTAAGTTTAGTACCTAGTTTTTGAAAAAGGCAAAACTGATGAATGATATTTAGAAGTATTCCTCTCAACAAATGATACAATATTTGAGACATACTTATCCTAATTTCTTATAAACTCTCATCCTCCTTTACACTAAAGCCAAAAAAGCCTTTGGTAAGTAACCATCAACCCAATGTAATAACCCACTTACTTACACATGCTTAATGAAATAACTGATATTTCAAAATATTGAAAAAGTCAAGATACAGCATCCTCTATATATGTCCTAGACATGAAACTACTATATCTCTTCCTCAATATTCTTCATATTAATTTCTTTAGGCTATTAAGTCTATTATTACCAAGCATACTGTCTACGATTCAGTTGAAGAAATCTCACCTTGGTTCCATTGCATCCAGGGATTCCTTGAGGTCCTGGGGCCCCATCATGGCCTGGCATTCCCTTTGAAAAGGGACATCACACATGAATAACACTTCTTAGATTACTTTTTTAAGGGATTTTTTTTTTTTTTTTTGAGTTGGAGTCTCACTCTGTCGCCCAGACTGGAGTGCAGTGGCCCACTCCCGGCCACCGCAATCTCGACCTGCTGGGCTCCGGCGATCCTTCTGCCTCAGCCTTCCAAGTAGCTGGAAATACAGGCGCCCGGCTAATTTTTTGATTTATTGTAGAGATGAGGTCTTGCCAAGTTGCCCAGGCAGGTCTCGAACCCGCGGGCTCGGACAATCCACTCACCTCGGCCTCCCAAAGTGTGGGATTACAGGCTGAGCCACTGAGCCCGGCCCTTTTAAAGGGATTTTAAAATAAAAAAATGAAATCCTACTTACAGGAAGACCTGGTGTCCCTGGAAATCCAGGAAGTCCAGGAGGACCCTATAAGAAGAAATAAATTCCTTCAATCAAATGACAACCACAACAATAAAATAAAACCTCTCTTAATGGAAAATTTGAAAATTTGTTTTAGAATATAAATGGACAAAATGTGTTTCACTGACTTTTACCACTCATTGTTCCTTTAAACATTAGATAAAAAGCTCTTGTATGTATCTAATAGATAGTAAACTATAAAAGAAACTACCATTTGAGAGACCACTGTTTTCATTGTACTTGGTAAGAGAAGGCAAATTAGTGAATGGAATGTCTCTTCTAACAGATAAAAGTTCTCCCAGGCTTGTGATGAATAATGAATTAAGCATGGGATGGGGAAGTGGCAAATATATTGCCCCTGAAGACAACGTGGTCACTCCAAAATTCTTAAATTTTCTTGTCAGGATTGGCAAAAACATAAGTTTGACAACATTTTCTGTAGGTGAGGCTATGGAGAAAAAGTATTCTCATATACCATTAATGGAGTTTCAAACACAATGGAAGGAAATTTGTAAATATCTAGCAAAATTACACATACATTTACCTTTTGATCTAGCAATTAACTTCTAAGACTCTATCTCAAATATACATGAGAGATTATGAAACAAAATATGAAATTTAAATATATTGACTGTAGCATTATTACAGTTAAAGTTTAGAGATAGTCATAAAACCACAGATACAGCTAAAGATTATAAACAACCCAAATGTCTACCAATATGGACATGAATAGATAAAATATGACACATCCACAAAATGCAACACTATGCAGCTGTTAAAAAAATGAGAAAGATCTCTGCACACTGAAATATGTATTTATTTCTTACATACAGTGTTAAGGAAAAGAAGCAAGGTACAAGAAGTATATATAATACACTACCTATTCTTATAAGAAGGATAGTGATACTAAACAATGGAAAGATAAATAAAAATGATTACCTCTAGGAGGAAGAATAAAACAGAGTGGGGAATAGCAAGGATGGAAGGAAAACATCTCTGACAACACACATTCATGTAGATCCATGTAAATGTTTTAAATAATTAAAAATTAAAATTAAAGGGTAAAAGTGAAATCATTAATAATTGAGGATGAACTGGAACCAGTGAACCTAACTGTATTTCAAGTTGTTGACATAATCATACAGAGAAAAGAATTACTTCAAGTGTCTTTCAAGCATGGTATTTTTATTGTAATCCCTTAGTGAACTTAGTCAATTCAAAGGGACAACAAACAACAAATAAATAATTAATGGACCTCAAGAATCCGGTTATTACTATTAAAATTGAAATTATCATTTTGTTAATTTATAAATTGCTACTTTGAAGCTATTCTAGGCATATTGTAGAAGAAATCAAATAAGAAATTATACTAATGTCATTATGAATGGTTTCATCTTAATAGAGAGAGATGAGGGGGAGAAATAATAGGTATATAAACCTTTTTATTTAAATTTCAACTGGAAGTAATAATATGAACTCAAGGTACTTTTTCTTTTTCTTTTAAAAAATACTTAATCGCTAACTCTGTCCACTGAAAAGACACTGAAACAGTGACAAATCCAGTAGCAATGAAAATCCCTAACATTTAGACTGTGGTATCTGAACCACACTTTTCACTAAAAAGAACCTGGAACCGGAGACATGGCTTATTTCAGCTCTAAAGAGAAAATGCAGAAGATGAACCTGAAAGGGTTTGTTGTGCCAGAAAGCAAGGGAATAATCACAGATCAATGGAGTTTTGTCCAAAGGACACAGGACAGGAGCCAACTTGAAAGAGTTCTCACAGGCTAAAGATGGGACAATTTGGGTCTCAAAAAAATAATGACTACAATTGATTGAAATGCCTAAGTTCCATGTGTTTATAATGAAAAAAGTCAAAAAGATTTTATTGATCACCACTTGAAATTGCTGGTGTGGCAACTCATTGCCCTATTAAGAATTCCAGCTGATAAATTAAAATTACAGCTAATAAATGAAGGATTGTTAGAATTTGAAAAATCGCCATCTTGCAACTATGAACAAAATAATTACCATTAGTAGATGTCAAATCATTAGGTGAAATTGATGGGGAAAATTTTTCACAGCAGAATCAGGATGACATTATCTGAGACCACTGATCAAACCTAACCTCAAATAAGTGGAATAATCAGATATTCATGTCTCATAATGTAATTAAATAGAAAACACTACCTATAAAATACACTTTTTAAATGTTCTTTAATTTCATTGCAGTATGATTTACATACAGTAAAATATACAGATCTTTACTGTACAGTTCTTTCTGTAACCCCAGAAAGTTCTCTAGTGCCTCTTCTAAGGCAACCTCCAATTTACAGGCAATATGGGGGACAGAGGAACAATTTTAAGTGACATAATGAGGAAGCAATCAGCCAAATTCAGATTGTGGAATGCAGTACAATAAAAATGACCCAGTTTTTCCATGGCATAATAAAACAGGCTTGAGAAACACTGCAATCAAATACAATACATGGAACTTGCTTGGACTGTGATTCGAACAAATCGATTATAAAAGGACATCTTTGAGACAGCTGAGGAAACCTTAATATGGACTGAGTGTTGGAGTGTAATGAAAAATTATTCCTAATTTTTTTTTTGAGTTGGAGTCTCACTCTGTCGCCCAGACTGGAATGCAGTGGCCACTCCCGGCCACCACAGCCTCGACCTGCTGGGCTCCGGCGATCCTTCTGCCTCAGCCTTCCAAGTAGCTGGAACTACAGGCGCGTGCTACCACACCCGGCTAATTTTTGGTTTATTGTAGAGATGAGGTCTCGCCAAGTTGCCCAGGCGGGTCTCGAATCCGCGGGCTCAGGCAATCCACTCACCTCAGCCTCCCAAAGGCGTGGGATTACAGGCTGAGCCACCGAGCCCGGCTTGTTCCTAATTTTTTAAGGTGTGATAATGGTTTAGCAGTTATGTGGTTATCAGAGAGGCATACTAAAGTATTCACTGGTGGAACGAATGAGGTGAGGGATCTACTTTAAAACATTCTAAAAATACGTGGTGAGGTATAGATTAAACAAAATTGTGAAAATGATAATTTTTGAAGCTGGGTAACATGTACATGGGAGTTTATTGTAGTATATATTTCGAAAATTTGTGTCTGCTTAAACATTTCCACAATAATAAGTAATCAAAAATCTGCATGTCAGGAGTTGCCAGTAAGTTGACACCTGAGGACTAAAGAACTATTAGGCCACCTATTCTCAAGCACTTTTAAAGTTCTAGTTGAGGGATGCGGACTATCCAAGTAATCCCAAACACTTGGAAATGGAAATTGATAAAATGACTGTTTTTGTTCGTTTTGTTTTGTTTTTTAGTCTGAGTAGTGCTTAGGACATAAGATACTGTTAATGGTAGCTAGCAATTTTGAATTATTTACTATTATGAATAGTTCTAACAGCATACTACATTTATTTCTACTTCTTACAGAAAAGTAGTGAATCAATTTCTTACAAAACAATGAAATAAACTAAGAGTTTTGAATTTATTTCCTGCTTTTCCAGGATCCTACCTGTACCAATCATGAGAAACACATAAGGCAAGCTACATGCTGTTAAGAGGTATATAGGAAACAGAATGGTTTGAATGTGTGCAAAATGTACACACCTGCTAAATTTCTAAAGATCAAAGGATCATATAGTTTGATTGTCTTTGTCACACATACAAACATGCGTCACACAAACATGGTATGTTACCACCCCTGTATTTTATATCTAAATTAAGAGGCCTCCTCAATCTATGCACACAGAATTTCAGAGCTAAAAGGGATCTTGGAGACTATTCTGTTTTACTCTAACTTAACAAATGAAGAGGCCGAGACTCAGAAAAGTTAAATATGATTTTTGAAAAGCCAGTCTATTTTTAAACTATAGTTTCCCTCTCAACTCTAAATACACTGTAAGATATATCAACCTAAAAATTTTTGAGGAAAAAAATATACAAGATGTGCATTTCAATTTTGAGAGGCTTCCTGATTTTTCAAAACCTTAACTTGAGAAGTCATACATGTTAGAATTGGGGAAATGTTGCATTCTTTCAGAAGTAGTTATTATCTAACATAGTGGTTTAAATTAAACTTATTCTTTTCAAGATACACCAAACATTATAATGCTTATACATGTTACACTTGGAGGGTATACAGGCAGAACTGACCAGCTCTCTGAACCCCAGTAAGCAGCATAATCACACTGGTTGGAAAGTTCTAATTTAAGCCAAGTGTATGATATAGATTTCTAATAAACTCACAAATTTTTAGAATTTAGTACTTTCATATTTTAACCACCAGTTACTTTAAAATCCTCTTATATTAGTATATATAGGCATTTAGATATATAAAAATAACTATCAAAATATAAAACAAAGGCTAATTGTAGTCATATACCAACTCTTAAATTTAACTTTTTAAGGTCTGTGTTTTTCTGCCTGTATTTTAATATGAGCATTTTCCAGTTGTCTCATAATATTTCATTTGCTTTTTATCTGTTTCCACCAACAAAGTATTTGATGCAGAGCAAATATTTCTTACTCTGATTCCTTTTGGTCCTGGTGGCCCTGGAATCCCATCATCACCCTGAAAAATACAATATAGTTAGTTCTTTTTTCTTCAAAAAGAGCTTTTAACTAACTGATTTTTATTATAAAATAAATGAATTAAATGTCTTTGAACCTTTGTGAAAGTTAGTGAAAAACTTAAACTCCCAAGAAAGAAGCATTTATTATTGAGACTGAAAGCACTGAGGTAAATTATGTGACCAAAAATAAGAAAGGTCTTTATTTACTGAAAAGGAAACTGCTGACATATAGAGGAAACTTTATACTTATAAAAAGAATTATGAATCATGCAAGAAGACAAACATGAGAACAGTATAGATATTCCCTAAATCATTTATTCATGAAAAAATAAGAGCTGGAAATCTGGGCAATTTCTATAGTATGTCAATCTGCTTCCTATGCTGGTAATAAATAGCATAGGCGTTGAGTCTAAATATGTATTGTTCTGAATTTGCTGAATTTAAAGCATTGCTTTGTTTTATAACCACACTTTCTATCGGAGCTTAAGAAGGAATGAGGAAGAACCATAAATGATCCTTTCTAGCTTTTGTCGTCATCTGCATGCAAAAGAGCCTACCAATCTGTGTGAGTTATTCTATTTACCCATTTCTAGTCACAACCACATTGCTGAAAATTCAATGTCTTGCGTCACTAAATTTTCATTAACAGTTTAAAGTGGAATCGAAAAACTAATTCTGCTCCAAGAAGGAATTTCAGTGAAATACATAGTAGACCACTGCCTGAGGCTTTAGATATTTATTAAACTAGGACACCTTGCTTTACACAAGTGGTTTCCAAGCTACTAAACTCACAACACTAGAGGTCCTCAAGGCTTATGTTACAACTCCTCCTTCCATCACATCAAGTCTGTTTTTATCTATTTTATGTAAGACTTCATGCAGAGTTCTGCTTGCAGAAAGGATTAGCTGGTTTTTAAATTTTCTATTACTGTAATAAATTACCACAAACAGTGGTTTAAAACAACATACATTACCTTACATTTGTGAAGTCAGAAGTATGGGAGGGGTCTCAGTGGCAGAATTGTGTTAATTTTTGGAAGATCTAAGGTAGAAGTCATTTCCTTTCCTTTCACAGCTTCTAAAGCCACCAGCATTCCTTGGTTCATGGCCCTCTTTGTGTTCAAAGCCTGCAGTGACTTTATGAGTCCTTCTCACATCACATCACTATGACACTGATTCTTCTGCCTTTCTCTTTCACATTTAAAGGACCCTTGTGATTACACTGGACCCACCCATACAACTCAGGATAATCTCTTTAGTATAAAATCAGTGGATTAAGCAACTTTAATTCCATCAGCAACCTTGATTTTGCCTTGCTATGTATATTACCCTTTTCAAATGTTCTGAGGATAAGGACATGAACATCTTTGAAAGGTAGCCATTTTCTGCCTATCACACCCTGCTTTTTAAAAAAAATTAATAAACTGCTCTTTCCACAACAAATGCACTTCAGGAGATTAAAGTAAATCAAATTTAACTTTAAAACAACTGGAATAACTTTTGTTGAATGAATCTTTTTGTGGCTTCCCACTAAACACAAATAGGACAAGAATGTCTTAATATTGTACTGGTTATGCTAATCAATATGGTTAATTAAAAAAAAAGAAATTAGATGTATAAAAATGAGGAAAGAATGAGGTAAAACTACCACTATTTGCAAGTAATATGAGTGTATGTCTGGAAAACCCAATAAGAAAATTAAATGAAAAGCTACTATGATTGATGAGATAATTTAGTAAGATAACTATGCATGAAAATATTATTAAAAATCTATAGCTTTCTTATGCCAATAACTAGCAGTTAGAAGACATAATAGAAGACAATATCCAATATGCAATAGCAAAAAAGATAGACTATTTAGTAATGAACTTAAGAAATATACCAGATTTATAAGAAGAAAAATTAAATCGTTTCTGAATTTCACAAAAGAAAATTTGAAAAATGGAAAGGCACTGCATGCTCTTGGATAGTAGAACTCAACATTGAAAGTCAAATCTCAACAAATTTAATTAAATATGTGATACAATAAAAATAGAAATGACATGAGTTTCTTTTAAGTAGTCAGGGGAACTCTAAAGTTCATATGGAAAAATAAATAAGCAAGAAAATTGAGACAAATTCTTTTTTAAAAAGAGCTATGAGGGGACACTAGCCCTGCCATGATGTATAACAATACAATACAAGGCCTCAATAATTAAAATGTTTAGGTTCTGACATTTGAATAAGTAGACCATTAGAAGAGTATGGAAAGTTTAGAAAAAAGTCCATATATGTGTGTGAATTTGGTATATAGTGAAAGTAGCATTACAAATCAACGGAGAAAATGATGTTGGGGCACATTTGTCAGACGACCTGGAAAATAAAATGTGGATCTTATATCACAAACCTTATACCAGGATGAAATCTGCATGAGTAAAATGTTTACATATAAAAAATCATTAAAATGCTGATAGAAAACGTGAAAACTATTATATAATTTTATAGTGGTGAAGGCATTTCCTATTCAAAATTCACAAACCATAAAGGAAAAGATCACAGACACATAAATGCACAAACATGCATGCACACACAGAGCAAAGTCAAATGACAAATTGAGGGAAAATAATTGCAACTCACAGTACAGACAAAAAGTCAATCTCTCTAATATATATAAACAGCTCATGAAGTATAAAGTATGAAAACATAAAAAATAAAACAGGAAAATGGACAAATTGTATGATTAGACAAGTCACAGAAAACACATGATTATTAAACCTGTAGAAAGCATATACTATTCTTGCTCACAAAATTAAGTTTTACCAGAGAACTGGCAAAAATTCACAAGTTTCTTTTCTTTTTTTTAAGTTAAGTAAAATATTATTTTATTTTTTATGTAAAAATTCTTTTTTTATTTTGAAGATATGGGTGAATTCAGATTTAGTTATACAAGTGGTCATCATACAGGTAAAGTTTGGGTTTCCCTTTGGTCCCCACTTCATCTAGTTTGACATCAGTTACCCTTATTGATGTTATGTGCCCCCTCACTCCCAACAGTTTCCCACTATGGCCAATCCTTTTTTGTATCGTGGTAAATGTTCAGAGTCTGCTTATGAGTGAGAACATATGATATTCTGGTCTTTGTTTCTGTGATAGATCATTGAGTATGATAGACTCTAAATACACCCAAGTTGCTGCAAAGTCCATAATTTTGTTCTTCTTTAGGGCTGTGTAATATTCCATCGTGAATATGTGCCACATTTTTTTATGCAACCAGTTTCGATGGGCAGCACAATTGGTTCCATGTTTCTGCTATTTTGAATCATATCTTTCCTAATTGTGTTGGTGAAGTTATGGGAAAACAGATCTTGTATATTGCTGAACCAAGAAAGTCAGGGTGGGGGAACAACTTGGCAATATCCATGTAAATATATAACTAAATGTACCTTCTGATCTAGCAATACCACTTGCAATTTATCTTACAGAGATAATTCTTTATTGGTGAAAGGATATATCTATTTAAAGTTATACATCTTTTTCGGAGGCAAGATGATGATGAACTAGTGGGAGCCTGAAAGTCTCTGCAAGGGTGAGTGTCCATAAAGACAGTCTGCTTGAGGGAATGAGTGCAGCTGGGTGAGTGAAAGTCTGTCTAGGGGAGATTGGGAATCAAGCACTGGGGCTCCCCTCCGGAGGTGGTTGTAATCCACCACTGCCCTGAGATCAGAGCCCCTGGTGTGCAGGATCGTCAACCATTCTCAGGGGTCTCTCGGGAGGAGGCACCAGAAGTCAGCTGCTCCTCAGCACCTGACACCTGGTCCATGCCTCCCACCCGGCAGCAAGCTGGGTGCTGGTAGAGGGAACCATGTAGAGGGTGAGGGGAGAAAATCTGGAGCTGAACCCCACCACTGGTGAGGAGACACTAACTACCACCATTTTCTCTGTCCTGGGACCAGGCAGAGACCTGCTTTGGCCAGCCTAGCTCTGTTCAGCCTTCAACCTGGGACCCAGAGGTGATCTCTGCACTCTTCTGGGATCAACCATTGCTGACCCGGAGAGGAAACTTCAGGAGTGGACATAAGAGACAGACACCCCCGTCTCAAGTTGGACCAGGCATGGACACATCTGATCTGAGTGAGGGACTTGTCAGGAGCAGCAGCAGAAGCAGCAGACGAGTTGGGTGAATCTGAACCTAATTCACCCTCCTACCACAGCAGTCCATGGGGTATCTGAGCTAAGAGCAACTGGATCGGCCGGCACCAAGAGCAGAGGGGACGGACTGGAGACCTTAGCCTGCTTCCACCATGGCTACAGTGGCCAGAAGCTGCGAGAGTGCTTGGGAAAGGAACCTGAAGATCCAGAAATGGCCACAAAGGGAGCTCTTTTTTGCCCCCCTCTGTTTTTGTTTATGTTTTAGTACTTGTTTTGTTGTTGATTTTTTGGTGTTTTTTTAGCTTTTCTATTTGTATATGGGTATTTTTGAGGACAAGTGCATCATCAGGGCTTTTTTTGTTGTTTGTATATTTTTGCTTTTTCTGTTTTTTTTTTGTTGTTGTTAGTTGGTGTGTCTGTCTGTTTTTCTTCTCCTTCTCCTCCCTCTTCATCTTCCTTTCATCTCCCTCCTTCCTTTTTCTGTTCTTTTCCTTTTTCTTAACTCTTTTTGCTTTCAGGGGGCATACACATGCCCTCAATGCATGGACAGATTGTAAGGTGGTGGGAAGTCAGTTCCAGAGGGCCCACACACCTGTTAGCAGACACTATGATCTGCAGATAGCTTCTGAACTACAGCTCCCCCCATCACACGTTAAACAAATCTCAAAACTGCAAAACGTACAGCTCCTCATCCCCAGTCCAGCTTCAAAATTGAACAAATCTGGCCATGATTGGTGACTCAGTCTGTAATCCCAGCACATTGGGAGGCCAAGGCAAGTAGATTTTCTGAGCCTAAGGGTTTGAGACCAGCCCAGGCAATTTGGTGGAGACCTTGTCTTTACAATAAGTATAAAATTAGCTGGGTGTGGTA